TTTTACTTCTGACACCAGATGTAGTAAGTATATGGGAGGCTTGACGACAGGATCGGAGGCACACTTGTTTATTACACCAACACAGTAATTACAGGTCACTTGGCTACAGGGATTCACGACAGCTAAGCCCTCTAACCTAAGCCAATTCCTCCACTACGGGACTAGGGGAGGCTATCTGTCCCAGCCTGGTTAAGCTGGGACCCCGGCACCCTGAGTCACCAGACCAGCTTAGTCTGGGCTCTCGGGGCCACGCCACCGGCTTGCCCTGGTCGGCCCTTATAAGGACAGCGAGCCAGGGGAGCTCTGGGGCCTATTCTAGCAGGTCTTCCTTCTTCTCTGGTTAAAGCTGAGTCCCCGACCTCGAGCCCTCGAGCTCATCACCTTTTATAGGACTCGCCCCCGAGGGGGGGCCCGTGGGGGATACACATGCGGACGTCGGTGCGAGCGCCACCCTTGTGTACGGCCGTAACCCCGCCCCTTGTGTTTGTTGGCCATCCGTGGCCATGCATAATCACACCTCAACATTCGTAGCCATGCGCAATTACACCTCTACAGTGTTGTGCACGACGGTTAAGAAGATAACCTTGGGTGGAGGAGAGATGTGGCGATGGTGATGGGGGGGGGGATTGATTGAAGATGAGAGGAGATGTGGAGAGACGGGCACGAGCCCTGGGGAGGGAGGGAGGGAAGAGAGTGGAATGGGCGCTTTGGTGGGAGCCGCTTTGTCCTGACAGCCATGAGCAAAGAGAGCTGCAGGCTTGTGCTGCTGGTTAGAGAAAGTAATCAAGGTGTCAGCCCTTGTGTTGCATTGCGACACGTGTGCGTGTGTGTGTGAGTGTACGTGTACGGTAGTGTAGCGGTTAGCGCTATGCTGCGCTACGATCCCTCCGAGCCGAGTTCGATTTCCGCTCACGGCCAACGCCAGTGACGATTATCTGAACCGGTCCTGGGCTTCCTCTAGGTCGACTCGGCCTCAAATGGCAGCACTTGCCCCAACAGTCTGTTAATGCGATACGGAGGATCTTTGTCTTTTTTGCGTGTGTACATACCGGGGTATGTACATTCCTGTGTCTCGTTATGTGTGTACAATAGAATAAAAAATAGTTTATAGTTAAATGCGGGGAATGGGGAACGGTGGCGCAGGAGTTAGCGCACCGCGCCACAAACCCAGAAACCTGACTTTCGATTCCCGCTCAGTGACCAAGTGATCCTGGGCCTTCCCTAGATCAACTCGGCCTAAAATAAGTGTCTGGTGTGGTGTGTAAACATCAGCACTGTGGAAACAAAGGTCACCACCGGACATGGGGCTGACCGCCCACCCCCCCTCGTTCGTTGTACGATGCCAGTTCGCTAACAGCGCTTGCGCCAAGGCTGTATGGGGGGGGGGGGGTTATCTTTAATTTGTTTTTGTACATATATGTTCATATATATTTAACTGTGTGTGTGTGTGGTTGTACATGCGTGTACATACCTGTGGTATGCATTCCGGGCACAGTGCTTAGCCACATCACCCCTCTCACGAGCAATGCAATCTGTCAATAGGTGCTCGCAAACGTCTGTTGAAGGCTATGGTTGGGGGTGTTTCAGTCTTTTGTGGTGTGTGTGTGTGGTATAGGTGTGCTTGTGTGTGGGTGTGCTTGCGATGTTAAGATCGCTACATGGGGCACTTTGCTTCGAGTGGCTCAGCTCACCGACACAAACCCTGCACCTTATTGCTACCAGATGCTTTCTTTCCAGAGAAGGGGAAAGGGGGGGTGAAAACTAAACCTCTTTCTGCAGCATTTTCCCAATAAAAAAAATCTCTCGCTTACACTGGATCTGGCAGACAGCCCAAATTACTGGCTATTTTTAAAACGGTTTTATTTTATTTTACAAATTATCGTTTAGTTTATTTCCGTCCACGCCAGGATTTATTGAATAAATCTAAATAAATGCATTCGGCCCCATCCAACGCTGTATAAACATCGTCCCCGCACTCCACGGGGCTTTGGCCGGCCTGCATCTCTTTCAAGAGAATCAAAGTTTTTACGGTTTAGTGGGCAGTACTGCGGAAAGGGATCGGATTTTTTTTTTAAAGAAGCTAAATTTTTTCTTAACAAATCCTAATACGGCAGTTATTTTGGCGCAACGTTGTAATTGAACCATCACTTAAGCCCCCTCCGCCCCCCCCTCTCTTTGCGTTTCCGTGGCTGCGGTTTCATGGAGCGGGCGAGTTTGACTCTCGGGATTTGGGGGAAGGGGGGGGGAGACATTTTCAAGAAGCTGACCGCTCGCCTGTTCGCTCGCTCAGCCCCCCCTCCTCCGCCTCACCACGCGCCAATTTCCGCCGCAGTTCCCCGTCCGCCGGTGCGCGTGTTTTCCAAGTGTGGCCCAATGTGCTCAGTCGCTCGCTCGCTCGCACACAGAGGCCCAGGAATGCTGCAGGGTTCATCTCCGTTGGTGGTCCTCTGTGCCAGCGGTGAAAATTCCACTGTTGTTATGGGCGAGGGGATAGGCTGGGCTATTTTGTTCCCATCCCACCAAAGTGGCGTTCTTTTTTTATTACGGAACCCGGAGGCGTGAGGATGGTCACGGTGTTGGTTGTAGCGAGGCGAGACTGGCCGAAATTTGAACCCACGATTAGAATTTAAACCCATGGCGAGGGTGGGGGGCACAGTAGTTATCTGAGCCCCCCCCCCAACCCACCTTGACCAGCATGGTGAAGTATGGTCAAAGAAACCCCCGCGACTAGCATGGCGTGGAGAGACCTCAATCCAGAAATGGATTAACAATGAACTGCGATTTAATTTAATAAAAACATATACTGTACGGCCCATATGTTGATACATTTTCGTGTAAATAAGTAGAATGTGAAAACGTGCAAGTGGGTCGCTTCTTTGCCAAGTCAAGGGTGCAAATCAAAAAAACAATTTCTCCTTTAAAGTGTTCGCCTGTGATATTTCACTCGGCATTCGGTGGCCAAATGCTTTGAACGCAACACCGAGCATGCTGATGTGTGAAGTGGCTGACAGAAAGAATGATGCTCATACTCCCGAGGAGTGCAATGGAAACAATATGAACCACGAGGACTTATTTGGCCGATCGATGCCATCTGCTGCCACCTGGTGTCGGTTGAAAATTCGAAAACAGCACGGCGCGAATATTAAATCCGCGAATATGAATACTTAGATCTTGGGATAAAATAGGGTGAGTGGACATGAACATTTATTACGTTAAAACAATATACACTGTACGTATATATTAAGGAATTTGTGTAGTATTATTGTGTTATTTAACTTAGCTTCAATAGCGACGAACATCAACATATTTAAAAGTGAAAATATGAATGAATAAATACGTGAATATTATTACGTGAGTATTATTTAAACTCACCTTGAATGATGCCGCTTCCTTTTGGGGGGCCATGGTTAACACAGTACGTACACAATTCCTAAAAAACTGTAAAGGATAAGCACTCGCGTGTCTGCTATTTTATTTTTATTTGACCAGGTCCCACTGAGCTATACAGTAGTTCTTTCTCAGAAGTGACCTGGCCACACACGATAGCCCAATGAAGCGGGTTATCGTAATGGGGAAAAATGTATAGCAGTAGCCACATGCTCTAAACGCGTGATGTCGATTCTAAATTTGGAGGGGAAAAATCGGAGGAGGACCCAGAGAAAAATCCACGCAACCACGGGAGGGGGGGGGAGTGGACACGCAAACTGAACCCCGTGGCAGACAAAGGCAGACCCAGAGGGAGAGCGGCATCACGTGGGGGGGGGGGGGGGGGGCAACTTTCGAGCTCTGGTACGCACACTGATTAAAATAGCGCGACAAAAAGAAATTTGTATGTGTACGTATGCTGAGCTTTTTTCGCACCGTACGTAGCCAACCGTTGCTAATCGGAGGTGCGGCGGGGGAAGGACAACAATCAAATGACAAAAAGCATTTCTGAAGAAGTGCAAAAATCGTCGTGGATGCGCGAATCCGCGATGGAAACCTCGGCGAATGTGAACGGTTTGCGGGAAACTCCGAATGAGCGCCCCCTCTATCGTCATGAACAAATGCTCCTGCCGTGTGTTCCATTCAATTTTGCGATGCCTTCAGAGGTCCTCGAATGATGATGACTCATTGCACTTGAGTGAAACTGTCACCATCTCCACTCAATCTGACTGACATCATCCCTCGATAAAACTCCAGCCATTGGAGTTGGCATCAACAACATTAAGCTCCACCCGTCTCACGATGTGCGTGTGAGGTCCGTTTTTCCAAACCACTGTTGGATGAAGGCATTCCCATGCCGTGTGCCTCTTAGAGGTTATTCTACCGTATACTTCAAGATACAGGGTCAGTACAGGTTGGTGAAGGAAGGCACCCAAGCCTGGGCCCACAATTGCTCGCCACAATTACAGAACTAAATTACCGCACTATACCTTCATAATTGGATGAGAGACGGTTCGCACGTGATGTTTTGTAAGCTCGGGGAAGTGCACTGAACGTACACAGAGTCTAAAACCAGCAAACAAAGACAAAGATCTCACGTTTAGCCTCAAACAGGTTGTTGAGCCGAGTGCTGTTAGTGAACGCCAATGAAGGCCAGCGCAGCACATGAGAGGGTCACGTGGTCAGCACCATGTCTGGCCGCCTCTGTCTCCCCATTTCAGGCTGAGTTGCCCTAGTGGAGGCCAAGGTGCGGTTCAGATATTGTCTGTGAGCGGCACTCAAAACTCAGTTCGCTAATCACTACGCTACCGCTACCCGCACACACGCACAGACACATGTACGACGCATTCATTATTGAAATTGTCCAAACATCCCAATGTATAGCAGGACCCTCCTGAAGCCTAACTTTGAGACCCAGTGAAGATTCCCAGGGTAAATAAATGTCTTTAGTAGCACAATGTTATTATGATCATTGTTTGACCACACTGCGGTGTTGGTTGCTAGCGGGGTATTGCATGCGCAGTGTGTTTGTTGTTAACCGAGATGTCTCTCTCCCGTACGTTTGGCGCGTGCAGATCAAACAGAGAAATGCAACGGCCGTGCCCTGAAGAAGGACACGGACCACGTGGTCTTGTCCCAGTGCCCAAGGAGGGACTGAGAATGGAAGTAGCTGCTGCCCGACCAATCTCTACGGACGCTCGCTGCCGCTGCTGCTGCTGCCCGCTGCCAACATGATCACTCACCCGCCGTGGATAAATGTGTTGACAGCAACCCACGTATAACACCAGAGACGGTACCAAACCAACTCGCATTCGTTATTAATAATGCAAAGGTCTGCTGAGAGAGAGAGAGAGACAGCGAGTGAGAGCGTATATCCAGAACACCGTGAAATTGTACGGGATTTGTCTTTTTTGTTTTGTTTTTTTTCTATTATGCACGTGGCAAGTCGCCCGCGCGTCATTTCTGACTGTTGGAGCAGTGTCGCCTTGAAGCCTCCATTCCTCCTTCCCACCCCAGGGGCCGGACTCACTGTCCGTGCCCACCGGGCGCTGCTGACCCGTGGGACCAATGTGCGACAGGGGCCCCCCACCTCGCGATGATAGAATCGTCTTTAAATAGATGTGAACCTTTTCGGCCAAAGCGACGACGTCACATGCCACGTGTCAGTGCGCGTGAGACGTCATCTCACGACGGCACGTCATACGCAGTGTGGCGTCCTCTCGTTGCCCAGGGTCTCGGTCTCTCATTGACCCTCAACCCCACGACCACCCCGAATCCCACCCCCGCACCTCCGATTAGCACGGTTGGCTACGTACGGTGCGAAAGAAAGTCAACATACATACACACACATACACCCTGAATCCCACCCCCACGACCTCCCCGACTCTCACCCCGACCCCCAGCCCCGACCAGCTCCTAATTCCACCTGTGTGGTGTTGGACACAGGGTCAGCGACGTCCGCTGTGATTTGTGCAAATATACGTAGCGAGACGTGCTTGGAGGAGAGTTGGATGTGGTTGTGAATCGCTGCTTTCTGTCGGCCAATACCCTAATGGCACTCGGAGGGAGTCGCCTTTATTTGACCTGAAAAGAGCGCACCTGTCCTGGTGAGTTCAACCGAACAAGTAGATTGCCTTGCCCCGACCAAAATTCCTGCCTTCATTTACATTTAAACCCTTTTTATACCTCTGACTGTAAGCCCAGCTTTAGCCCCAAGCGTAGCGTTATACTGTAGCTCTAACCGTATCCCTTGGGTATAGATGCCAAATCCCAACTGTTGACAGTCACCGATGTGGGCGGTGACAGTGGTGACATAGCCGAGCGGTATTGCATTTCGCCACTTGTTGCGGGGACTCGCGGTTCGAATTCCAGCGGCCGCCCTGGTTATTACTGCGTGTGTAACGACCCCACCAATACTACGCGCCGTCGGCTTCGCTCGGTGGACGCTCAAGATCCCCCTGATGTCATTCGCAAGAGTCGACCATTGTTGTGCCGCCGGTGTCAGGGTCCAAATTAGCAAAATTGGAAAAAAAACAATTCGTAAATTACTCAACCATCGCCGCCTACTGACAGACTAATGCCCCAGGTCACTCTTGAAAATGAGACTCATCGTGGTCTCTTGAGTTTCTCACCCGGTTAAACCAAAACGATTGTGGTCGAGCATTCTCAATACCATTTAAAAATGAAATGTGCCAAAAACGGACGAACATGATGAAATCAGCTCGTGCCCAGGCACAATACTCGACTGACAGTTACATCGCAGGAGAGTGAGAGACCGCAGCAGCTGATGGAGGCCTTCATCCAGCGTTGGTTCGATGAACATAATTGTAAGACCCTGTCGGCAAAGATTTCGGAATGGGAGTCAATGCCCTTCACCAAATGAACACGCAACTAAAATGAAACACGGCCCACGCACTTATTGCTCCGAGTTCTTGGGCTCTACGACACAAGTTTAGCGCTTGGTGATATTTTTTTATTTTTTATGACTAAAATCACGGCGAGACACCGGTGATGCTCCATTGGCAGCTAAAGATGCCCACGCAGAGGAGCTGCGAATCTTAAGTGAAGAGCTTTGTTTTCTTGTGGTCAGTTCATCAAAATGTGTAAATGATGAGAAAAATCGCATCATAACAGGACATCAGTGCAGGGCCGGGAAACCACGATGCACTTCTTAAGGAACTGCTGATGGTTTTAGCATAATGCACACAGTTGCTTTTAAACATGTTTTTGCACGTTTTTTTCTCTTGCGGGTCGTTGAATCACCGTAAGATCACGTGGGTGACAGATGATGAGAAAATCCCATCGTGACAAAAAAAATTATTCAGGCTAGAAAACGACGATGCACTTCTTCAGGAACTGCTAACGACTTTAGCATAATTCACGATGGTGCTTTTTACATGTTTTGTTTGCGGGTCGGTAAACCGCCGTAAGGTCGTGTGGGTGAAAGAGCTCACCCTGCAAGGTGGCATTCACAAGGCAGTACAGCAAGTAGTATTTAATTTTTTTTCGTGGACGAAGTTTGAGTGGTTGTTTTCTTCCCAATATGCCGTGGATTTCTCCAGGAACTTGGGTTTCCACGCGTATGCACAAACACTTAAAAACATTACCTGACCAAAAATCGCAAAACTTGCGACCCTCCTGAAAAAATCTCCAAATTCACCGACCTATTTTATTCTTATTTTTGTTGTTATCTACCACACACCACCTATAGTGTGAGGTGGACATTAAATAAGCCTTAATATAAAAGTGTCGTTAACTCACCACCACCACCCGACAGCCAAATAGTACGGTTTGTCAAGCAAACAAAACGTGGCAATCATTTGCTGCTTCAGCACACCGATGTGTTAAAAGGTAAACCGACAACATTTACATTTTGAGTACTGTGACGTATTACATCCCGCTTCCTCACACACACACAAAACCTTTATCTAGAATAATATTGGTCGCGAAAGCCTGGTACGCTGTAATCCGCAACCCCAAAATGTCAAATATGTCAATTACGGCGGTTTCCGCGACACACACACACGAACCTCTTTCAGATGCCTCTTACCTGGTCAAATAAGTTAATGTGATAATTTGAGCGCTTATTCGTACACGTGTTTACAAAGAGTGATGGGATTTCATTGAATGAAATCCAATTTTACTTGGGTCACCCACTCACTCACGCACTCACCTCACTCACCCATCCAACCAGTCACTCACCCATCCACCCACTCACTCACCCATCCAACCAGTCACTTACCCACCCACTCACTCACCCATCCACCCACTCTCACCCACTCACTCCACTCATCCACCCATGAGTATTTATTGACAATGAAACTGCAAAACATCGCTCAGTCACTCACCCACTCACTTGTAATGACATGATGACACCTGCTGGCTGGGAAAGGGAAGCACGGGTACGGGCACGGTTAAGGGAACATCCAATCAGAGAGGGAGCGGTATCTGGGGCAAAGGGAACAGGAGCGGTTGGCCAAGATTCTCCGGGATCCTTCTCGAAGGTTCCACGAGAGGGCGTGGCCGGAGGCGGGGCCTAGCCACGCCTGGGGGATATAAGGGGGAGCGGACACGGGGCTCGTGTGTGGATTCTTGGGTCCTGGCTGCGTCGCTGCTCGCCGACATCTCTCTCCGTCGTCCGGCCACGTGGAAGATCTCCTGCGGGGTTTCCATCGCCATCCTCGTCACGCTGCCAGCCAGCGGCTTAGCCGAGCGAGGGCGGTGGGACCACGCCGAGTGATCGGCTGTGTGTGTAGCCAGTAGAGACGTTAATATCTAAGTAAGACTGATAAGGTTGGCCTGTGTTGTGCCCAGTGTGAGAAATAAAAGTACCCTCTACACGACGTGTTGCGGAAGTCGCTCATTACACACTCACCAACTCACCCACCCTCAGGTTAAGAACCAGGCTACAGTCTACATTATAGACTGCCAGTACACTAACTCCGATTAAGAACCTGGCCACAGTCTACATTCGTGTTTATTATTTTTATTCACTTGATTTTTTATATGATTTTTATATCTACGTCACTTTACCGAAAGAACCAAAGAATTAGGGAGCAGGGAGCTGTGGCACTGCGTTGATTGTGAGCTGCGGAAGGCGCTTTGATCTTTGAAAGTTGGTTAAAATGTCGTATATATTTTTTTAAGGATTGTCGTTTAGAAGAAAAAACTTAATGCACTCTGACCATAGGATGGGACTGGTTGGTTGGTTGGTATCGGCTGCCTCTTAGGTACACACCAAGCCCGCTGTGTCCCGGGCTGTCCCAGCATCGTTGCTGGAAACATTACAAGCATTTCAAGTCACACAGTCTTGGGGAGGCGCTCGAGTGTTCTCATTCTCACCATTGGAACCTCATTTGCCAATAAAAAATATGATAATTGTTTTTTTTACCCTTCTATCTGGCAACAAAACTGACACATTTTGGCGTCATCTGGTCCAACTCAAGTGAGACTAGGCTCTAAGGAAAGCTGTCTCGGGTGTGGACCAATCAACTTCAAGGACAGTGCATACATTATCAGAGTTATGTTTTGTTTTGTTTGCATTATGGCTGCAGGTATTGTGGTCTATGCAAACATGACTCCTTGTAAAAAAAGGTGTCAGTTTTGTTGCCAGATAGAAGGGTAAAAAAACCAATTATCATGTTCTCATTCCGTCGGCTCCTCTAAGCTCCACGCATAGCTTGAGCGAATATATTGACAGCCGCTCTTGTCAAACCATCGCTGGATGAGGAGCCTCGCCACAGCACCCAGGATCGTGGTTGGTTTATATGACCATAGGGGTCGTCCATAAATGACGTCACGCGATAAATTTCGATTTAAAGCTTTCGTGACTGCAGGGATTCGTCTTATTGGTTCTTTCGGTAAAGTCACGTAGAAGGGAAGTAATAAAATAATAAAAATAAAACATAATAAAATACAATTATCATGACGTTTCGGCCACAACGCAAGCAGCCGTCCTCAGGTGAAGAACAGGTCTCGGAAAGACAGCGTCTGACAGCCCTAAGAAGACGTCACGCGATTTTAGACGATTTTTGACCCCCCCCGCACGTCACACGGCGTCACAAAAAGTCAGAACCCCGCCCTCAAATATGACGTCACAAAGCTCTGCCCCCCCCCCCAAAACTTGCTTCAAATCGCTTTAAACTATTGTCATTGTAGTGCGTATTTAATGTGGCGCTGCACTCTGATGTTGTAGGAGAAAACATTTATAAAAAAGTCTATTTAATTAAGTAGAACGTGTTGTCTATATTCATTTAAAGTTGCGCATTTTGATGTGACGTCACATTTCTCAACCCCCCCCCCCCCCTCGTCACACATCGTCACAAATGTCTGACCCTCCCCCCCCTAAGTGCATGACGTCATTTATGGACGGCCCCTTACTTCACCTTGCGGGTTGGTGAAGACGGGGGGCGGGGGGCATAGATATTGTGACGAGAGCGGCATGAACGGGTCTGCACTGCCCTCTGCTGACCGCATCATTTGAGGTTGCAATTGGAGCAATGTTTATTCATACAAGAAACTTGGGGGGGGGGGAGATTCTTCTACTAATAAACCCACGCGATTCGCTCCACCTCTTTAAACCGGTTGATTGTTTGCGTCGACGCAAACCCCATTGCACCCGAAGTATATCCCACAAATATCTGCACCCCTACGCGAAGAAGATGAATCCCTGCAGTCAGCATCTTGTACGTCATCAGTTTTTCCTCCCGATTCTGGTACGGTGACGTACAAGACGTACGTAACTTCAGGTCGGAAGACGTACCGAGGCTCCCACAATGCCATGCGGGAGGGAGTGTGGCACAGTTTGGCGCCAGCTGCTGTCATGTCGTTACCGTTCTCTGCAGCGAGTACAATGTCTTTAAAAACAGCGGTGCAATGCCTCTCGAAATAAAATGAACGCTAACCACTTGCGTGCTCAGATATTCAGCGGTGAACGGGACGCCACCCTGCAACTTGCAGACGTTTCAAAACGGGAAAGGGTTATAAATCGACACTTTCGTTTGAACAGAGATGTTCCTTTGCAAAAGGACTCTTGACCACAATGGGTTCTCACCCGGCTATAATAAGGAACAAAGCCACGGTGATCATTACCACACGAGGCAGTAACATTCTATACAAATTTAGAAAAACCACACAGCACATACTGCTCACTTTGACAGGTTCTTGCAAGTTTATTTACAGTGATACATTCAAACCAATAACACCTTGACATAAAAAAAACAAGTCATTGTACATATTAAAGTCAATAAACTTGGCAACATCCTTACAAATGCCAAATATTATTGCAATCGGGGTAGCCTGTTTGCCTGTCTTTCAAGGCACTGGCAATGGATTCAGGAAATGCGTTGAAATGTAGTGAAGCTCCAATGTATGGTGAACCCTGCAAGGAAACTGGTGATTACAGCATCTTACCTGGAGCGTTTCCAGCAATGGGTAACCTTACCTTTCCTTCGTTAGCGACTGCGGTAAAGACCGTATAATTAAAGCTCTGCGCAAATCCATTGCGTTACCGTTGTTGCTACACCTGGCCCAATGCAATTTAATGGCAACTTGGGCAACATTTAATGGTTGGGAGGGGGAAAAAAGTTGAAAACTTAACATGCTAACATTAAAACCGTTTGTCTACTAGTGCACAGTTAAATCTGCAGGCCCTTTTTAAAATCCTGTAAAAGTACTCATCGGTACAGTTTGACATGCTAGCTTATCCACTAGATGATTTTATTCCTGGCTGCATGGCAGATGTTTCCTTTTCCCCCAGAGCGATAATCGTTGTCGTGATGTGCCTGCACCTACAAAGGTCGTTTTTTCACGAGCAAAGCAGCTTGCCACTGGGGTTAACGTCAACTTGACATCTTTTGAACGCAGAATTAACTCGTCCCCTAATGCTCTGCTACTGATGGATCACGTGTGCACCTTTAGTGCACGCGTGAGCGTTGAAGAGGTCGGAATTGGCATGGTGCCAAAAAAAATAATCTCGTAAAAATCTCCCGGTAAAAGTAGACCGGCCATTATTTCACGTGGTAATTTAAAATTCCACTTTTTTAAATTTGTAAACACAATTTTAGTATTGCAGTGAATTAAGCAAATCCTTGAGCAAAAAATGCTCCAAGTTGGCAGTATGGGGCATCAAGTACGCGGTGATATACTTAATGCTGTTAAGAGCCACTCTCACCTGCCATCACAATGTCAAGCTTCACATTAAACGCGTCAAACGGTGACCCGTAATAGTAGTTAATGGAGTCTTGCGTAAATCCTATTTACTTACTAAGAACCTCACCCTTTTTAAGGAGTGTTGTGCTTTGTAAAAAAAAAAAAACACATTTACAAATTGCACTTGCATGTTTGAAATGTTGTACAACCGATAATGATGCAAAGAGATGATGGAGGAAAAGAGAAAAAAACATCTTGGTAACACCGTCGCAAACAACAATAATGCAGTCTCTGTACAAATTGCCTTGGTTTTGAGTCCCCCCCAAACTCTGGCACCTGGGTGCCCATAGTTTTCCACCTTGTGTGCTCCCCCTCGCACGGTTCGATCGTCCGTTAGCTCAAGATGTCGTTGACGTACACACTCCTGGGTCGGCCGTCATGCGGCAGCAAAAGATCCTCCTCCGTGGCCGTGCCTGTCCCGGGGGGGGGGGGGGCATTGGGAACATTTGGAGAGAAGTGCGGTTTCAGTTAATGTACAGTTTGTTCTCCTGTAACGAGTGTCGTTTTCATAAACAAATGCAATATGTGATGAATGTGCATGCGAATTGGATATAACGCGATTTGAGTGAACAGAGAACTACGTCGCAGGAGTCGGAATATAAGCAGTCGTGTATGGCTGCCTCGGCGTAGCATCGCGCAAGGGCAGGATGCTGCTGGATGCTTCCCGATGCTACCCACGCACCTCGGTTTTTGCTCAGCCTGCATAACGCATCTCACGTCTCATCGTGTACTGCTTTACCCTCGATTATAAATTGTAACGTGGTGTTCTTTCAGGAATGCAACTACCGTGTTACAGGAGAACGGCACCTTTTCTACACGCGCTCACATGCGTGTATGCGCAAGGTTTAATGGGTTTGTGAAGGCATGTGGTGGATGTTTGTGCGATTGTCGGATGGGTTCCATGCTGGCACTTGTCTTGAGCGAGGGAGTGATTTGAAACCTAATAAATCAGAACACGTTCGTAGCCGTGTAACAGCTCCGTCACCCAAGGTGGTGTCGCTTTTACACGGCGAGACGTGGAAACAAAGCAACGAGCAGGGAATAAACACGGTGCAATTTGGATGTGTGCAGTGGCTAAATAAGATCGCATTTCTGTGCACAGAAATTAATGGTGGGCATATTTTTTGTTGTTCAATACAGGCATGTAATGATTCTACTCCCTAGCCATTCAATGATTTGGAGTTGATTTTCATGCAAGGATCCATTATGTCTTGATCACGTTATATGTATATATTGGATTTTTTTCATTGTTTTGTTCACGCCATGATAATTATTTATACATGAGATTAGCAATATGCATTATACATCCTAAATAATAGATTCCTAAGATGCATGATTCAAGGCACGTTACCGTGAGCATATGAATCGACTTAAATAAATGAATCTACATCGCTGCACATCTGGTACAACATATGAGTGTTTTATTTGGCATTCAGGCTTTTTTTGTGTTTTAGATATGCAGATGCATTGAGACGTGCCTTGTTTGACAATTTAGGTTTCTTAAGTGTGCATTGCTCCCCTTTCAATTTTGTCAGATCTCGGTGGCATAGCACGATCAGCACGGGGCCCTTGTACAGGGGACAACCTGGGAGCTCTCCCTCTAAGCTCCCCCTTTTGTAGCCCGGCGCCTGAGCCCGCACCCCCCTCCCCTCCACACCTTTTCGGCCTGCGGGCCCCAGGGAGCAGTTGTTACCGCCTACTACAACAACAACTCGCTCGCTACGCCACTGTCCGTGTATCCACACCTGTGCGGGAGCACGCGAGGGCGTACACATGCGCGTGTATGCGTGTACAACTTTTATCGCACACGTACGTAGCCAACCGTGCCGGACGGAAGTGCGGGGGGGGGAAGCCAACGAACGAAACAGGAAAAAGCAGTTCTAATGAAGAAGTTGGTTTTCAATCCTACGTGGAGGGGGATGTGGGGAGGTGTGCACGGCCCCCCTCCACTTGCGCATACTCACCGCTGACGATCATCTCCGCTCGCTCCCGGTCCTGCTCGATGACGGTGGCCGTCTTGAGGAAGCAGGCGCCCCCGAAAGCGCACACGAAGGCGCAGATGAGCAGCGCGTACTCCAGGCTCAAGAACCGCCACAGGTACGAATCTCGATCTCCCTTGATTGAGTCCGAGATCTGGTAAAAACGCATGCACAGAAACGGTGGCTATTTCCATGTAGCACCAGCAAAGCCTCAAGTATTGACCATTACACCATTATCTAAAATGGCTGACAATGTTATGGTTTTCCTGGAAGATAATTTCTTTCATTAGCTATGATCTAACCACTGCTGGTTGAAGGCCTCCCCACACCGTAGCTTTCTCATGGTCTCGCGACGCACTGATCCACCCGGCTTCTGCACAGAAGCTGATGTCATTCTTCCATTCTCTGTGGTTCATGTCCCTTTTGGGTGTTAACTCTCCTTGCGTTGCCACTCCATGATTAGTCTTCACTACCGGCCATTACCCAATCTTAAGACACCTCTCCGCCCCAAGCCCACGTTCTTTTCCCAACAGTCAACATGATGTCTTTAACATACGCAAATTAAATGCGTCCACAACACAGCACAACACTTTTGCTTGGTAAATTGAAATTCTTCATTGTCATTAGAACTTATAGGAAAAAAATAATAAAGTGCGCAACTTTGAATAACATTGCATCCATTCCTGGGTTTGAACTTCCACGAAGCTCCTGGTCCACCCTAAACCGCAACCACTGCACAAACCATGGCAGATGCCTGATACACAAATGGAAAATTTAAAACTGAGCAGTGTGCACGACTGTAGTCGTCCAGAACAGACCGAACAACGACGCAATGCCTGATGATGCACAAATACAAAGACATCACATCGATGCGCTCCCGCTGCTCCAGACGCAGTTATCTGGCTTGTCCACCCGAATGTGAAATTGTAGTTGTTTCTCTGTCTCTACGTCGTCATCCATACGAAAGAAGAACACAATTTAAATAAACGTGGGGAACTAACCTGCAGTGTCCATCCCCCCAACATGCATGCTGGAGGGGGTGTGCGGTGTGGTGCGAGTGGAAGGTGTCTCGTGTGTGTTGCCCACACCTTGCCGATGAGGTACGGGGAGAAGGCATCTCCGAGGAGGTGGGACATGAGGATCTGCACGGACTCGGCCGTGGAGCGTCTTGTCGGTATCACCACGTACTGCACGCGCGGCGGAGGCGGGGGGGAGGAATACGCCGTGAATAGCTTGCAGCGCACGCACTGCCGTGGGTCCGTTGCAGTATGCTGCCGTGCACCACAACCGCGACGTCTGTTGGTCCAAAAATCTCTACACCTGCCGGGCGAGGTGGCTTACTCGCCTAACTTTGGGTGGCATGGCGGTTTGTGGACCGTGTAGATTTGTGAAAAGAACTTTTTTATATTGCTGCTTGTTCGTTCTTGTCAGTTTATATTGCTGCTTGTCAGCTCTCGACAACCAAATCTCCCTGAAGCGGTCCAATTTTGTCAGATCTCAGACGCTAAGCTAGATTTAGTCTGGTTACTACCTATATTGGGAAACTGGTGCTGAATGCCAGGTATTGTAGGCTCGGGTTGAGAGGTGGCCTGGAGATGCCATGATGTCAAATGGTACGTGAACCCATCTGTGCGTGTGGACCTTTGCGTGTCATCACCTTGCATGTGTGTGGGGTTTCTTCGATACTTTGATTCCCTCCCGCACGCAAAAGATTCACGAATGAAATTGACTGGACATTCCATTTTAGGGCCCTCCCAAAAAAGAATCTCGAGACTCGGTGACTCTATTGGATAAATTCAATTACTATCAGCAACACTCAAAACGGAGCACTATTTATTTACTCGCAAGCAGGTGTAAACCATATATTTGGAAATGATTGTCAAATTGATGATTTTCCTCACAGTAGAAACACTCAGAATCTCACAAGAAGATATAAATGAAAAATAGTGAATTTAATGTTCCGATGTATTTGTGGCCGTGTAAATTAACTCTTGAAACCTTTTCACCAGCACATTCATGGCGCCGACGACATGTAAGGGAAGGACTCACCAGCAGGATGTCTGCCACGATGGCCCAGTTGAGGCACAGCAGCGTCTCCCCGCAGAAAATGAAAAACTGGAAAAGATTGCATGAGCCGGGTGTTGGGTGAAAAAAAAATAGCAAGTAATCTTAGCAAGCTAAAACGATTTGGCGATGCTGCGTTGGCAGTGGTGTACATAGTTGACAAACAGAAAAAGCGACATTTGTCAATAGCAGTCCCTTTAAAATATTAAAAAAATTATAGGCTTTGGTCATGAGGCAGCCAGGAGATTGGAGCACAGCAATAGATTGAAATCGAACTCTGTAACTGTAAATGTCCCTTGTTTTAAATTAAAGCGCACCATATGCTATGAAAAAGGACCATTGTGCAAAACGTATCCGATTATAATAATAAACTCAGCTTTCTAAGTGAAATTTACACAAGGCCTAAAAGCGCTTGCATAAAGCTTAAGTTATGGAGAAAGCCTGTACTAATAAACAGGTGAGTTTAAAGAAGCGATTTAAAAAAATGTAACACCGATTCCCTAATGGACAGAGGAAGGGGAATTCCAGACTGCAAAAATCTCCGTCTCCCATCGAACAATGTCTGCTCTCTGAAATAACGAGTAGACCAGAATCGGCGGTGTTATTGACAAATGTAAATTTAGTTGTTGTTCGTCACAGAAAGGGGCCGCGACAAATTCAAGTGGCGCTCTGGAGTGCGTGGTGCGTACATATGTGACGGTCGTGTTGCTTTCAGCCGTGACGAGCGACAGGAAGAGGAACGGGGCGGAGCTCAGCAGCCCGAAGGCGCACACGAGCGGGTCGGCGCGTGCGTTGTACTTCTTGTAGCGACGGGCGATCTCGGCGCCCACTCCCACACCGATAAAGCCCGACACGCACGTCAGGATTCCAAAAATCAGGCTGACCCTGCGGGCGGGTGGGGCGACGGACAAAAGACGGGGCAGTGTAAACGAGTCTACAATGCAGCCGCAATGACGCAAGGTGCAAAGTGTTTCGGTGAAACAACTTTATCTTGGCAAGCTGTTGTGGACATGTGGCCATTCGGTCCCAACAGCAATTTGATGAAATGTCACCGTTTGATTTTGATTCAAGGTAAGTTAGATTTTAGTTCTGGTTTGTAATGTTGATCATTTGTTTTCTTTTTTTATCCATTCCGTCTCGTTAGTACAGTTTTTTTGTTCTCCTGGCCCATTCGTCTAAACATAAGATTACCATATAATTTGTAATAAAGAATCTTAAACAATCAATGTTCACACCGTGACTCTACGCGGGTGTCGCGAGTGTAATTAGGAGGCACACTCTAAACGAGCTCGCCAGATCAATAGTCTAACATGATGAACTGTGTGCTGTGTGAGTGTGCGTGCACACGCATGTCGCTCACTGGCTGTATCCTTCACAGGGCTCCGTGACGCAGGGTCTGAGCCGGCCCTGCACCACCTCGGCCAAGGACAGGAACTCGGGCGACCAGAGGGCGAGCGCGCCCGTCACGAACGACACGCTCGTGAATCCCAGCGACGACCACAGTAAGCTCTGGCTGTGGTGGAAACGAAACGGGGGGTTTGGGTGAAGATCCGCAGAACACCGGAAATGCAGGTGGAGTTTCTGGCTGCCCGAGCAACGATACAATTGGTCACTTTACAAAGATTATGTGTGGGATGCTTCTTTCGTATGGTTGATGTAGATGCAGAGCAACAACTTAAATTTCACATGCAGGTGGTCAAGCCAGATAACCGCATCAGGAGCAGCGGAGTATTCCTGTGATGTATCCTTTTTAGTTGCGGATTGGGCATTGCGTTGTTATATGTTGTTACAGTCTGTTCTGGATGACCACAGTCGCACATTGGAACAATTTTTCATATTCCATTTGTTCATCGGGTATCTGCATTCGTCATGGTTTGCAGTGGATGCGGTTTAGGGTAGACAATGAGCTTCCAATGTTAGGTCCTTAACAAACAAAGTGTTTGTGCTGTTGTAGCTGAACCGTCAAATTGTATACAGCAGGGATTTTTAATATATATTTTCCAGCAAGCCACAAAAAAATTAGCGTGTGCTGGTAAGCCACTTGACATCATGTCACATGTACAAACTGTGACATCGCATGGCCTCTGTCAATGTCTGGAACAGGTGATCACTAAATGCATACCTCCTTGTCTCTCTGATCTCTCTCCCTTTATCCCACTAATCTGTATTGATGTCTTAGGAGCCATGTCTCTTTGTGGATTAGTTCAAGAGCACATCTGACCTGCAGGCCCCCAGATGAAGAACCCTGGCTTAAAGGTAGATGCAACCCAAAAATAAAAACAGAGTTCCTGTTGATATATTTACCAGGACTGTTCCATGGCTGAATGATAGTGTTAACGATCGTGAAATAAAACATTTGAAGTAGCCAGGCACACCACATAGCACTCAAATGCTACCCTGCTGTAATGTTACTGCCATACATTTTATACATCAATGTCACTAAAGTGCTTTAGCAGCATTCGTATGTGCACCTGAAAGTCATCTTATACACTATGCCTTAAATTTGTGTTGGCCAGCCTGGAAAACACCGCTTTACTTATTCTTCTACAAGATAAGCGCGATTAGCTTTTTTAGTTGCATATTTCTATAATGCAGTAATTCTCTACCTGTTGTGGTCCACGTTCCACAAGTGGGCCCCCCAAGGCCATGGAAAGTGGTCCGTGGAAATGTTGCAGATGATAATTTTTTTTCTTCTCAGAAAACAAACACATTTTTTCCAGTGTGGTGGACCACAAATATTCGTTTAGGGTTGACAGTGCTCTACAGATGAAAAAAAGTTGGGAACCACTACTTTTAATCAGTCTAATGCCATTAATTATTTCAAAATATATTTCTGCACCCAAATGTTGGTTAAATTCGAAAGCGTTCTGAAAGTTCAAAGCAGCAGGGCATACCGTTACATATAAAACAATTTTACAATCTACTGTATAACCACGCAATTTATGTACCCTTGGTGGAATCGGCGAAATGGTACACATGACCGTAACTTTGTACGGCTTCACGAGTACGAACGAAACACCGGGCTTGACAAAATGAAATCTCATGACAAAAGCAGAAATCCAGGTGGACCCAGAGTCTTCATTTGCCGCCGCTTATTCACATCCCAGCATAAGCTGCCGCCTTCTGGTGCCTTCAGATGAATGAGAAACAGGCGCAAGGCAAAGCGGCGCATGCATGAAAAGGCGGCGCACCCCCCTTACTTGCGTGCCAGGGACTTGAGGTCGGTGAGCCAGCTGGTTCTTGACAGATGTACGCCCGTTTCCTGCTCGATGGCGCCCCTCGGGGGCTCGGGAACCACGAAAAAGATGAGCAGCACCGCCAACACGCCCAGAACTGGGGTCACCTGGTATATAGGCAGACAGGCAAGGACCCAGCAGGGCAAATGACATAGTCCAAATGTGATCAATTGCACACATTTAATTGTGAAATCACAGGGCAACATTGCAGGCTGCTGCTGCAATCAATTCACGCCGCGCGGGGACGGTTGCCACCAGGGGGTTCCCCCTGCCGCACGATGTACTGTCATGCTCTTCTGGTCTTCCGAAGAAATGAATTAGTAAACTGCAACTAATTCGGAATGCAGCGGTACGTGTTCTGATGAAAACCAGAGAGCACTTGCATAACACCCATATTACGATCCTTACACTGGCTGCCAGTCAGTCAAATAATTTATTTTAAAAAAATTATTCCTTTGGTTTTTAAGGCGTTGTATGGTTTGCCACCTGTATACATGTCTTCCATGCTTTTACGATATGAACCGACAAGATCCCTCAGATCCTCTTAGTCGTCCCAAAGGTCAGGGACCAAACCCACATCTGGAAATGCGGAAATTCGTTATTATGGAATCAAAATTGGTACAGGGAAGAGCGATTTATTGAAAGATCCTCTGCTGTTGCCTCCTCGGTGTGGAACTCTATATCCCTATGCGCATCCGCAACATCAAATGCATTTAGGCCTTTAGATGTTTTTTGAAAGTCAATCTGTTTGGTCAGGCTTTCGAGCAGCCCTGAGCTTAGCACCGTACCTCTAAGTTGTTGTCTAAATCAGGTGGGGTGCCTGTCCAAGAGAGATGGACTGAAATGTTAACGACATGGAAGATGGAGGCGAGGACTGTAAAGTGGTGGAGGAAAATTGATAGCTAGAAGGTTAAGACGGCACAGAAGAGTTTACATTGCATGAACTGGCTACACGCTGGAGTGGAAGGATGATGTTTTCTTGTGCTTGTACATGCATGGAATTTTGCGCAAGAACTCATTTATGATTTATGTTAATTCATGGCATGACATTTTTTGCCTCGATAAAAAACCTGCACAAACAAAATGAAAGAAAATACGAGGCAAATGGTAAAAAGGAGAGAAATTACAACCCTGAATCGTGAATTCATTGGTTAGGAGATTAATCTTAACATGCCTTATTTGATATCTTGATATATTTTCACTTCCATTTGGGTTTCCATTGAACTCATTCTCCTTGTAGGAATATATTTCTTCTACTTATTCATACGTTTTTAATGATTTTTTTTTACAAACTTCAATATATATGTTGACCTTGAGTGGGATATATTTTGTTAATTATATATTTTTACAAATACAATATTCCAAACCATTTTTACTCGTATAACAAGTAGAGGATTTATATTTATTAATTTCAAAGCCAGTGAATGATTATACTATTTTGAGCAACTGTTACCAGATTTCTCTCTATAATAACACGATGTAACACGATTTTTGTTCCTGGGTAATAAGTGTTATTTTCTAATTGCTTATGCCTCAAGTATAGGAAATGGATCTTATTTCCAACAAACTTTGCGTTTGTGACCAGGACTTTACGTGAAGGAATGACACAAATGTACACGTTTTCTCATTGACAATAGGTACATTTCTAAATATCACTGTCCTGGTCACAAAAGCAAAGTTTGTGGGGAATAACAGCCATTTTCTGTACTTTTGAGGCATAAGCAATTATAAAATAACACTTTCTACAAAAAAATAAATGTTTTTGTTACACAGTGTATAATTGCACATGGGGAAAAAAGTTTGCCCACATTCTGCCTTCCCAGCTTGCCTTTTAAACAGTGAACAGTAAAGTCCCCCAAAGTGTTAAATAGTTTTCAACTCTTATCCTATTTGTCCTAAGAAGAAGGACCATTGCCCAAAACGTCACCTATTTCATATTGTTCCTTTTTAAGGCAGTGTTATTGACGAATGTGTACAGTTTTTCTTTTGCACCACTGTCAACACAGTATGCTCAAATAATTAATTAGTCTTTGAATTTCGATTTAAAGCTTTCGTGACTGCAGGGATTCATCTTCTTGGTTCTTTCGGTAAAGTCACGTAGAAGGGAAATAATAAAATAATAAAAATAAAACATAATAAAATAATTCTCACGACGTTTTAGTCTTTGAATGTTTTTTTTGTACACACTGACAATGTTGCTCATCCAAGTGTGTGCATAGGACAGTGTAACTGTGTTTGCAAGCATGGCGCTATTTTAAACGGTACCGCGTTTTATGGAAACGATGAAAATCTCTCACCCTCAGTCCCCACTGCCAATTGCCCGTCAATTGCGCCAAGTTTGCACCGAGAATATAGCCCAGCCCGCTGAAAAAGAAAACGGCACGTGATTATAATTCCATAACAGCAAAGTTATACAATTCCATAAGGCAAAGGCTTTTACTTAATTGCGCTTTCTCTGTCACTGGACCCATTGCCTGGAGCTTTCTGCCAAAGAAGCTTACGGACAAAAACGTGTCTCTCAAAATTCAAACGAGACCCTAAAAGACGAATGAAGGATTTACGGCCAAAGGAGGGTACGCGCCCGAAAGAACTTCCACCACTGAGATGCAGCGGCAAAATCCCCTCCTGTGCGGGTGCTAGATTAATTTATGCGTCACAGAACTCTGAAATGGTGACTTGCTTCGAGAGGCCTTCGCCCCCAGCGTGTGGATTGAATTGATGATAATATCGACGACACTTAATTTTGGTGAAAAATAATAGCTGGAGCATAAAAAAAAAAGTATTTTGGGGAAAGACAGATTGGGAGAGCGACAAAGTTGGCATGCATCACGAGTCAGAAGAAGCTGTGAACAGGACTAGGGAGGGGATCAATCTTGCCTGCCCACGGGGATTGCGAAGTAAAAGATGGAGAGCATGCGGGTACGCTTGTCGCGCGTGTAGAGGTCGGCGATGATTGTCGGAGCGATGGTGGAGTAGCTCGCCTCGCCTATGCCCACCAGTCCCCGCATCAGGAGGAATGCCCAGAAGTTCTTTAGGAACAAACGCACACAACAAAGAACACAGGCTACACAACTGGAATGCACAAATACACTACGGTCAGACAATCGTGATGCTTGTTAAAATAGGAGCTGTGGGCATATTATTTGCATCAATCCTAAATTTAACATTCGTATTTTTTATGGATAACATTTCACTGACATACCACTTCTAAATTTATACTCGTGCAGCTTCACGTGTAAAAATGCATACATATACATATAAACATAAATGTTCTGACATGCTAGGCAATCGCTGGCATTCACAAACTGTCAACCGTGACTACTGTGACGAAGGTCGGTAACGTTAATGACCCAGCTTCTTGCAGAGTTTAGTTTTCCACCTTGTACGTATGGGTTTTCTCACCGAGACTTTTCTTACGTTGTGGGTGCATTACAAAAGCAACCGACCTCTTCAGGTTACGCCGTCTCATCGTACGTTCCACCTCGCAACCTTCGGTCTGCCTCAAGTGGCCTCATCAAAGAGGCCGTCGCTCGAACGGCGGTTCTCTGTCGCGACCCCAGTCGTCTGGAATTCACTCCCTCTCTCACTGCGCTCGTCGGCGCTGGGTGTCATCCTTTTGTCAGAATCTGAGGAGCTTCATCTCTCAAATGTCTTCTCCCATGCCTTCTGAATGTCCTTTTGACGTGAAATGTGTGCGTGTTATAGATGTATGAGTGAATGCATGAATGTTGTTACATTATCTGAGCTCTAGTTGTTTTAATGAGCCACCCGCTCGACTCCCCCTCCTGATTACCCTGGGGGTAATATCTTGCAAGCCATGTCCATCGGTTCAAAGTTCAAAGTTAATTTATTAGTTATAGCCCTGTGAGCCATTCGGCTCTTGAATCGGGTGCAACCGCAACAAACAAAAAACAAAAACATGAACAAAAAACATCTTAAAGTGACTATGTGCAAACAGAAAATCCAAGAAAAGACAGTGGGGGGCCATCTTGTTGCAAGAGTGCTCACCTCCTTTGGAATGAAGGAGCTTCCCAGCGTGGTGACGGACCACACCGTGATCCCTACCGACATGATCAACTTCCGATTGAAACGATCGCCCAAATAACCGAAGATCGGTGCCAGCAACATGTAGCTGCAGATGAACACTGCAAACGAGTAAAAAGTGGCATGTGACTGCTACAAAATATCTGCTACACTAAAATGTACAATAAAATGTCAACAATGATACATGTCAATCGGCACACATACCAACCACTTTATCTACTCGATCATGAACTTCAGCCAAACTGTGATAACTGTTGTTGACAATGGCATTGCACGAGTCTGCTGTTAACCTTTGACGAGCTCCATTGCAGTACAATACAGTACTGCGCCTTTGTGTGAAAGGAAATACCTGTATAAAGGAAACCACATGCCATGCAAAACTGCAGTTGGTGCATTATTTAAAAATGTAAAACAATATTACTAGCTCGTGTTGAGCCATTACACACATTGCATTAACATATAAGGCATCCATTAACTAATTATATTTACTCGTTTAAGCTAGGTCGATATAAAAAACTACATGCATATACCCTTGGAATTGTGAACATTTGTATTGTGAGTTTCCACCCGATAAACCTCCATCAGACCCGCCATGGCATTGGCGACACCACATCAGATCCAGATTTGAGTCCCAGGTGTACGCCATCTTGTTACGTGTTGTTGAAGAAAACTCAAACACTATGAGACCTCCTTTACCAGTGGCAAAATATAGTAGTAGGTTTTTACCCTTAAAACTGGTACAAAACTGACACCTTTATACAAGGCATCATGTTTGCAATAACCACAACACAAGTAGTCAAAATGCAAACCAAAAAAGAAACAACTCTGATGATAATGATATGCACTGTCCTTGAAGTTGATTGGTCCACACCCGAGACAGCTTTCTTTAGAGCCTAGTCTCCATTGGTGTTGGACCAGATGACACCAAAAGGCATACAACTCAAAAACAGTGCACTATCAGAGTATTGAGAGCTCGGGGTAAGCATTTACACTATTAGACCTCCTTTACCAGTGGCAAAATATAGTAGGTTTTTACCCTTTAAACTGGTACAAAACTGACACCTTTATACAAGGCATCATGTTTTCAATAACCACAACACAAGTAGTCAAAATGCAAACAAAAAAGAAACAACTCTGATGATGATAATGATATGCACTGTCCTTGAAGTTGATTGGTCCACACCCGAGACAGCTTTCTTTAAAGCCTAGTCTCCATTGGTGTTGGACCAGATGACACCAAAAGGCGTACAACTCAAAAACAGTGCACTATCAGAGTATTGAGAGCTCGGGGTAAGCATTTACACTATATTTTGCCACTGGTAAAGGAGGTCTCATAGTGTAAATGCTTACCCCGAGCTCTCAATACTCTGATAGTGCACTGTTTTTGAATTGTATGCCTTTTGGTGTCATCTGGTCCAACACCAATGGAGACTAGGCTCTAAAGAAAAGCTGTCTCGGGTGTGGACCAATCAACTTCAAGGACAGTGCATATCATTATCATCATCAGAGTTGTTTCTTTTTTGGTTTGCATTTTGACTACTTGTGTTGTGGTTATTGCAAACATGATGCCTTGTATAAAGGTGTCAGTTTTGTACCAGTTTAAAGGGTAACACCCTACTACTAAAACTCAAACAGTTGTTGGTAGAAACACAAATTAAGGATGTATGGAATGTGGTGCCAAAGTTTCAAGCACGCAGTTAAAAACTATTTGATTTTTTTCCCCCAAAAAAATTAATAACACGTGTATGGACATGCCCATATTATTCCACTTCGTGCAATTTTTTCTCACAAGCGAGTTTGAACATGTAAGATTATTCAGTGCACCGTTCTCACCTGTAGTGAGTAATCCGGACATGGTGTTGTTGATGGAGAAGTAGTTTTGAATCTGCACAAGGATTCCTGTGCACAGGGAGCGCAATTCACACAGACTCATCACCACAAGCAGAGTACAACAGTCAAATCAAAATCAAGGAACGTTTCATTTTGCAAATGTAGGCATTTCAAATTAATGTAATTAACAAATGCTCCTGATGAACATCCCATATCCAGAGGCAAGTCACGTGAGTTTGAACCACGTAAAGCCATTTTAGGAGGAACGTTATAGTTAACCGCTGAAGAGCTTGCACATACATTTACAGTGAAAAATGTTCTAGCTCATGACATTTGACATTTTCCAAGGAAAAGGCACAGGTGTCAATAATTAAGTAAGCTGCCATGGTGCCAGCGAAATGTAAGCAAAGTGGCACTGCGAAATTTATCCTGCAAAACAAACCTTAGTTCATAGAATCTAGCGGTATGGTAATTTACACACATGAAACGAAGCATTCTATTTTCTAAATATATTGTACAATAAAGTAGAGTACACGGTAGTTATAATAGTTAGTGGCATCGACAGCTTTGGCCATGATCATTCTTGTTAATGTTAGATAAAGCCCTTTGTAAATTGACTGCTGGATGAGGGCCTTTCCATATCGCATTAATCATGGGGGTTGTTAGACCATATTTCACCACGCTGGTCCTTGTGAGTTGGTGGATGGGTCGGGTCCCTGGAGGGTTTCACAGATCACCACATTTGCCTACACCAAGTGACGTTCGACAGGGTTGACATGCAACCAGGGTCAACGGTCAAATTCAAACTGTTTCGTGGCCTGGGTCGATAGTAGTGCACATGCGTGACATCGCGCTCGCTGAATTTGTATTTACCACTGCCATATAACAAAATAAAGGCACTATGCTAACGTTGCAGTCAATGGCCCTTGTTCAAAAATGCCAATGTTTATATATATAAAACCTCTTCAGAGTGCATGTGTAACCTCTTAAGTCAGAAGGCCCAATCACTGAAGCAATGGTATATTATATTACGTCTTTGTAAGTTAATGATGGGTCTTTGATTCTACGGATGCAGATTCTACATAGTCTGGTGGGTTGCATAAAACATTTCTATGTTTTGCCCCAATATCACTTTAAATAGCAAACCTAAGAGCATGTGTAAAGTACATGCACAATCCTTTTCTAAATCCATTGCTGGAGGAAGGGCCTCCTCATCCAGTGTGTCAACTGTGTTTGTTACTTTCTCCTTCCAAATTCGTAACTCCGAGTTAACGGTAACGTGAAGCCTTGGCTAATGAAGGACGGACCTGACCAAATTCCTGACCAGGTGGAGCCATTACGGAACGCCGAAGCTTTGCGTAGAGAAGCTGAGATTTTGGGTCACCTAGGCACTAGGTTGGGCTTCAGCGGGGCCCCTGACAACACACAAATAGTGGAAAACACTCACCACCATCATCATCGTACTGCTGTCAAACCACACGATGGATTCAAATGCGTGGCGGCCCCCCACACGGACGATGTCTTATCTGCGAAATTGCCCCCCCCCTCTACACCCAACTCCTCCTCCGTTAGAAACACCGCACCACGAGGTGATGCACACAGACAGCACGAATGGGAGGGTGAGTTGGCAAGGATAGACGATGGATCACCGGGACACCGAAGCATAAGCGAGTTCGCGCTGCAAAAAACGAGACACGTGGACACCAAGGGGACAGGGGGACCTACGGGCACCGCCAATTGAACCACGGACAACCTGGGGTACAGGGTGGGAAGGCAACCAGGGAGACACAGAGGGGGTGAACACGGAGAGCTACCGGCTCGTGTCCAGGGCATGCCGAGAGGAACACGGGTGGGTGGGTAGGGGGGTTACACAACAGGGGTTGTTACAAGTGGACACCGAGAAACAACCGTGGTACGTAGAGTAATCGTTGAAGGTCGAAGGGCACAAGGATACCAGGAAAAACCAGACCACCAGGGGGTTGTTGAGGAACACCGCGAGACTTTGGGAGACCAACAAGAAACTCGGACACACACAAAGAAGGGACGGCCAAGGAACACCACGGTATAAGGATGACAGCCAAGGCGTGGGGGGGGGAGCAACAGCGGATAAACACGGGACGCAGCCAGGACACCCAGCACCGTCCAGCAACACCAACGAGCCTGACCACGAGAGACCCCGTGAGGCACGCGAGTACACACGAGAGGGAACCTGGTTAGAGGCGCCACAAAAAAACAACAAACAACAGAGACCCGCAGGACCCCACCACCACCATCACCACCGACCCCACGCCAGACAAACGATGCTCCCTCGCTCCCTCTCTCTCAACAGCCTCGCACCGGCCACCGTGAAGCGGTCCATGTAGTTGAGCAGGTTGACGTAGAAGAGGATGATCACCACGGCGAGCGAGCGGTGCCTGGACACCCCCGTCACGGTGTGAACATCCCGGGGGAGCGAGGCCTCGAGCGGCTCGCCGCCTCCACCTCCGCCGCCTCCGTCCACCGTTTCCGGGCACCGCATCCAGGCAAGGTCGGGGCTTTGGCGGCCTCCGCTCAGCCGCTGTCGTTCGTACTCCCCTCCTCGTCCTCCATCGCCCTCCACCTCCTCGTCGCCCACGTCGTCCGCCGCCTTCATCGTAGGCCTGCTGGTGTCCCTGCCGCTCATGAGCGCCGATGTTTGTCGCGGTGGTGGTGATGATGATGGAGAGAGAGGAAGGAGCGATCCGCGCTGGAGGTGGCAGTCATGTGAGGGGGGGTGAGGGGGTGGGGGCTGAGGGGGGGGCACGTAATGCGGCTGTTGTTGTTGCTGCTGCTGTGGGATTTCGATGGACTTGGCCCTGCCACGTGAATGTGGAATTCGTACGGACTGGTGGCTCACGGGTGGTACATCAGTGGGTGGGGGTGGGAGGGCAACGGTTGGGGTTTGTCAAATGACCCGCTGTTTAATTTGGTGATGTGGTTTTTTTCAGAGGTGTGAGATGACGATTGGACTTCTGTTTTCGTGGTGAGTTGAGACACGGGATGGGGTCATTTTTGTTGTTCCGCTTGCAAATGGAGAAGCTGTACAATGATTGAGCCACGCACCGACAACAACAAAAAACGAATTCCCCACTTTTGCAAGTGCGACCTGACCCATAAAGCGGAGACACGCGCTTTTGATTGATTACTGGATATCGGTGGGAAAAGAGCTTTATAGCTAATCGGATTCCTTCCAGTATAAACGCATATTCTGAATTGGTGATACAGTGTTGTTGATGGCAATGGTGGACAATCACAAATAACAAAAAAATGCAATACTGGACAGTGCATTCGTCAATAACACTGCCTTTAAAAAATATAAAGTATATGATAGGCGACGTTTTGGGCAATGGCCTTTCACAACCATCAGGCCAGAGATGGGGTGATTAGAGCAAACGGAGGCCTATTTGTGATCTCTCTTACCTCTCTGGCCTCTCTATTTACTATAAATAAGGGGCATTGCCCAAAACGTTGCTAATTATATGCAGTACTCTCATTTTAAGGTAGTGTTGCTGACGAATGCGTTTTTTATTGAGTGATTTGGTTGGTTGTGATTGCTCGCCAGAGAAAACCTTGTGACGAGAGGCTTAATTCTAAAAGTATTCTTTGAAAACTAATTATTAACGACTATTAACTTGGTGGGACGTTTTAAACAAGAATTAAACTAACATTGTTTTATTTAAAGTTGTTTGCCTCTCCCCTTCTATTTCGAGAACCGAAGCAAGCACAAGTAAGAGGGTAACCACAACAATCAGCACAAAAAAGAAAATCAGCAAAATATATAAAATTCCCCTTTGAAAATTGCAAGATTGTTATCATGAGGTCGTCACCTGACGTGGAGATTGGGATAAACATTTGATGGAGTCATTGTTCATTTGCGATTGTTTATTGATGAAGGTATGCATTACATATTTTTCGTGTGAAAATACAGTGCTAATTATTGATGTACAGAACTGAAGTATCCATGTCCGTCATTTTCACTTTTTAACTTCGACAACCACAGGAAGGCTGCAACATCATTTGACAGAGTAAAGAACCATTTGATAGAGAAAATTAAATATTTTTCTGAAAACGTACTGCTGAAAGAATGATGATCTTTAAGCGTGTGAGCCCCTCTGTTCATCGGAGCCTTCCTGGTGCCAAAGATGGCACCAAAGCTAGTAATACATTAAGACAAAATTCTATCTTCATTTAAGCATTTTAATCAAACATTCCATCCGCCCATGTGCCTTCTAGGGCCTGGTTTCCCCAAAACTCTGGACCGGCTTCAACTTGCCTAGTCTCATCAGCAGGATGTGGTTTGAGCAGAAGCAGTGGCAGTACCGTGAACAAACAAAGTGGTAGAGCTCACTCCAGGGTCAATTCGGGGTCAACCAACATCAACAGCGGCCACTGTTACTGCCACTCAGCCATTGCATCCCTTCGCTGTTTGTTGTATTCCATTCATTTCACCGCAGGTTTAGACATGTAGCAGCAGAATTTACTGTCAAGCAGAGTAGTAAACGTCTTCTTCCCGTAGATGTGTGGCGTCTACGCCGTGCGAACGAGAGAGAGAGCAAACGGAGACGCAGATTGACTGGGGGAGGCTATTTCTGCTGGATTGGAAAGTGCACTTGAGCTACACGCGAGTTGGAACATCTGATGTGGATTTATATTCCACAACTGTCATTGAACTATTTTCCAGAGAAAAGGAAATACTTTGCAAAAAAAAAACGGAGTGCTAAATAAATTATATTTGCGAGCACTCGACTGATATTGTAGATGCATGGAGTCGACTTTATATAACTATTGCATTTGCTGCATACATGTTCTATTTAGCACTGACCTTTTGAAGAAAACCCCAAAATATTCCAGGGGATGCTATTATCTATTCTGACGTAAATGAGAAACATGGATTCGGACAAATAATTGGAATACAGACTGAAAAGTGCACAAAGACGCACGGAGAGATGCATTCTTTGAATTCGATTTGGAGACAGGAAGACTAAGGCATGGGTCTGGTAATAAATACAAATAAGAACCATCGGAGTGACTACTGTACTAAGGAAAGTGCGCTTGAGCAGGACACGTTATGGTGAGGAAGAATGATGGCTGAGACTGGTGATAGAATTCCAAAAGGAGGGAACCCACCCAAAATTACAACCAACGCGGATATATATACGAATAGCGATTTCAGACACGTTTATATGCGGGAGTCTGTTGGATTGTTGGCATCGCAAAATCACGAGGGACCGGAATCGTTATTTCAACTCGAGAAATCTGATGAGCTATGAAGCTCGTTTTCACAGATGTCCAGTAGAATGTTGAGGGCTTAGGGAAGCCTTCACCCACAGCAGTTGACAATGGCTGACAATGATGATTCGCAGTGCCAATTCCAGAACAGCATCATTCTGACTCAAATCGTTTTTCAAAATACTGTAGCAGTTTTGAAATATAAACTTGGAACTTAATTTGCTGTTCACACATGCGAAAATACTTGGTGCAGTGCATACAGCCATCTAATACACGGTGATCATTTATAGATTTCCCACTCAAATAATATGGATACAAATCGGTATAGTGCAAACTTGTTACGTCAAAGCTTCAACACGTCTCCCACACGTCTCAATATACATATTAAATGATTCAACACTCTCCTCTAAGATTTTAAGTAATTGATTTTACAACATCCAATCGCCTGTTGAGAAGAAGGTCGTTATGAATCAGCGTGGTATCTACACATAGATCAAAATACAAAAAACATCATTAGCGTCGTTGTGGAATATGTAAGATATTAAAAAAATACACATAATATGCCTTTCAATATCTGTCCCGCCACGTAAAACAATGATAATTGTTTACAAATCCCAACGGCTACGTGGCTTTCAGCGGGTGGATGTCAGCAGCATTGGTTCAATACAAGACAACCCGGGGACGGGTTGAAATATTCAGTGTCTCACCAGCGATCGGACTGGTTTAAATCCAATGGTGGGGAATTAAACTCCCAGGTGTCAATAGAAAAGGATAAGATTATGGTTCGCAAGTCCATGGTGTACGGCGTGAATAGCTCTCGCCTCTGCCCTTGAGAGCGAGCTCCACACGGTGGCGCTGACACTTGCAACAAACCCGCTCAACCAAAGGCGAAAACCCAGAATCTAGAGAGTGCCGAGTTAAAACCGGTTGTAACCGCGAACCGGTTTTGAGAAAATCAAACCGGTTTGAATTAGGCTTGCAACGCGAAAAGCAATTTCCTCCAAACTACCCTCGCGATTAATTGTCAACGATTGATCGCGATTAGATAGATAGACCAATGGACGTAAAAAAAAATTCTGCTGTATATAAAATAATATACCCTTTGGGTCTTTCGGTAAAGTCACGTAGATGGAAAAATAAAAGTTAATGTAGCGGCCTCTAGTGGCAATTGGAGATCATGTAATCATGATACAAGTTTTTGGGTTATACTCTTTAGTTTTTTCGGTAAAGTCACGTAGCTGACCAACTCAATTTAGTTGTTTTATTTTATTTTGCAATCACGAAAACTTCAAATCTTTTTGGGTTATGTCGCGTAAATATAAATGTGTCGTTAAACCCGCCACCACCCGACACAGCCAATTCGGGTGGTGGTGGTGGGTTTAACGACACATTTAAATTCACGCGATCAAACCCAACGACATCTACGACGAATAATATCGGTCGCGAAAGCCTACATGCTAATCGCGTAACCAGTTATAATAAAGTTACACGAAAATAAATCGATTCTAACTCGCATGATCCCAAGCATGTACCGCGAGCTTCACTAATCGACGTTATTAAACATCGCTGGATGGATGAACGAACGAACGGGAGGATGAATGTTCCCACCCCCCCCCCATATACCCAGCTATGGTGTACCCGCAGATGTGAGCCGTGTCAGGCCCCCACACACACACACACACCCCACACACTTTTCCGCGTGTTTCTAAATTTAAAAGGACCGCCAGGGAAACGTCGCCCACGCAGAATTCGCGTCCAGGCACTGGACCGCCTCGAGCTTGCAACATGCGAGCAGGCAGACAAGTTATATAGAAGAAGATTAAGAAAAAGGGGCGATCTTGGCTTGTTGGACACGTTTTACCATTTGTGTAGAACTTTGGGGAAAAGTTTAGTGCTTGGGTCTAAAATTTGATTTAAAGCTTTCGTGACTGCAGGGAATTCATATTCTTGGTTCTTTCGGTAAAGTCACGTAGAAGGGAAATAATAAAATATTAAGATAAAAAATTAAAATTCTCACGACGTTTCGACTGCAACACAAGCAATCATCATCAGGTGTGAAATCCACAGAAAGATAAAAAAAAAAACCTTTATTTTAAATAAGGGATATGCTTGTTTGGAACGTCGCTTGTATATATTTTCGATTTCGGGCAATGCCACTGCTAAATGTGCTCTGTTAGCTGGCTGACAACCCCAGAGGCTCGGAGCGGTGGCACGGTGGTTAAGCGCACTGCGCTAAATAAAGTGAATGAACATCTGAAAACCGCTCCTGCTCCCCAACTGCGGCCAGCCGACACCGACCAGCGTGGTGAAGTATGTCCCCGCGACAAAATGCAAGCAAGCAGAGAACCACGGCGTGGAGAGAAGACCAACAAAACCACAAAATTAACGCCATCAGCTAGCAGTGGATTGACGAAACGCGCCGGGGTCTGTTGGCGTTCATCTCGCGAGGGTGGAGCACGGAACGCCAAGCGATTTGGTTACAATCCGGCGTGTGTAAGGAACTGTATATAC